GTGGTGAACAAGATACATGGGATGTATGCATCTATCTTCTGTTGGCATCTGTTCATGTTTTGTTATTATTTTATTCTGGTTGCTGATTTCTTGGTTTGAACAGTTTGCGAAACTTGTGGATCACATCAAATTTGATCATGGTTACGCTTCCAGCAGCCCTCCTGTCATTAGTGTAAGTTTTCTCTAGCCAAGATATTTTGAATTGGCAACATATGTTGTGAACCATTAATGGAGGTCTGTTATTTGAATCCAAAATGTATTGCAGTTGCTGGAAATCATACAAGAGTTTGGATCCCTTGAACGCAGAGCTTTCTTGCAATTTATAACAGGTTCACCTCGGCTTCCACCAGGCGGCTTGGCTGCACTAAATCCAAAGTTCACAGTTGTCCGAAAGGTCTGTTTTTGTTATAAAGCTCTCCTTTCTGTTTCAGTTCACTTGATCCATCTTTTGCTAACAGTGTGATGTAATAATAAACAGCATAACAGCAATGACGCTGACAATGACCTGCCTAGCGTGATGACTTGTGCCAACTATCTTAAGTTACCTCCGTACTCTTCAAAGGTTTGACCTTTCTGCATATCCTAATTTAGTGAAGTTTACTAGGTTAATTATTTTCAGTACTCTTATTCATTTGAGAGATTGAACTTATAACAGATCAAGTGAAATAGATTGAGATTGAACTTATATCATTTGGGAGATTGAAATTCTAACAAATCAAGCGAAATAGATTGAAATTAAGCGTCCATGTTCTGAGGTTGTCTCCTCAAGGTCAAGGTCCCCGCAGCCAACATAACATATAAAACATTAAGTAGCCAACATAACTACCAAAAAAGCTAAAACATTAAGCAAGTCAAGGTTCTTTATTTTTTTGTGTTAATTGATAGTAAAAAAAATGTGTTGTGAGCGCTGAATTTCTCACAGCAATTTTCCGTGCATTTGATTTTTTAGCTATGCTTTGTTTGTTTTGATCCTTCTTTTTTTGAAACAATTTTTGATCCACGAAAGTTTCCTTATTTTCCTGCAGGAAAAGATGAGGGAGAAACTTCTCTATGCAATTACAGAGGGCCAGGGGTCCTTCCACCTATCTTAACCGATAAGCGATAATGATATGCCACATGCAATAGGAGTTTCACTTTGTAAGTATCTCGTAGGAAAGGAAAGCACGGTGTAAATGTGGGCGGTTCACTGCTAGCTGACAGCACGATCTGATCTGGTGGAGCTGATTTTAGGAGGAAAAAAAACGCTACCCTTCTTTGTACATACTAGTACTAGGTTTTAGGTGTGGTCAAGCAGACCACTAGTGTGCCTAGTTCGCAGTTCGCTACTCTTTTATCCAAACTTCTTGTACATATGCGTGCCTGCCTGGCTGCCTGGTAGAAAGTGCCAATGCTATCTTTCTATGAAAACTCCATTGTTCTTCGGTGTTTGCCTTCTGAAGCGTCGTTGTGTGACTTGTGGCAAAATATATGTGATCTATTGGTGGATTTCATATGAACATTATCTGATCCGAGCGTGAGGAATTTATGCCATGGAAATTGGACTGTGCCTTCTGCTTCGGTTCCTTATAGTGGCCTGTCCCTTGTCGACCATAAATATCGGACATGTTTTGCTGGCACGTCTCTGTTCCTGTTGCTATCTTTGGTTCTCAAAAGTTTCTTGTGGATGCGAGAGGTGGCACCCGAAGTCACCAGAGAACGGGTGAGTCGGGTCGCTTCCAGATGCAGAAAGTCCTGCGTCCGTGCCAGCACTGTAACCGTTGGCAATCATACGGCTATATAGCTGATCGAGTGTATCCCTGAAGGCGATCGCCCTGTTGGATTGGCTTATAAGCTGATATTTTTTCGCCTCTGTTCGTTTGGTTTATAAGCTGTATTTTTTCAATCAACGAACAGTGTTTTCCTTTTACAATAAATCTAGTCACAACTTATCATCAAGCGAATAGGACAGATATAGTTTAATATACGCTGTTGCTTCCCCCAGAAGCCTTTTCGTGCAGATAAATGGCCCTGGCCACAATCACTTTTTCAAACAAAAGGAGTTAGCAATACAGTCTGATCTCAGGAACAACAGAAGCTATAGTTTAATTGTACTCTGTCCGAGGATAATACGCTTGTTTGCAGATGTCGCAACTCCTTGCCTTCAAAAGCGTCCTTGATTGATATTTTATCAGAAATCATTGCTTGGTGTGAATTTTTTATAGCCTTCTCCGCTTTATGACGTTGGATCTTTCGGGTAAGTAAACCCGTTCATTGGTTGTCTAAAAGCTTCGCAAGAAATGAGTAAGAAAATGTCTAGGAAAGCTGTGGAGCTCATAGGCTGTTGTCGTCGTACCTTGTGATTAATGGAAGAGCTAGCGACGCGTCACTAGCAAATAGGAAAAGTGAACAACTGTCAACTGTGTACATCTTTTGTGTGGTTCACTGTTCGATGTTTTTACATGTATGAGGCGTGAGTTTGTGATACGGTGTAAATGCGGACTTTGGATGTGGGGGAGGTAACAAATACTATATCATGCTATGCGAGTTATCTTTTTTTTTTAAGTTGTGATAAATGCAGCTATAAGACGAACTTAAGAAAAACAGGTAATGCGGAAACATCCACACGCTTACAAGTAATAATGATTATATCCCATAAAAAGTACTATATGTACCGACAAACATCGTCACGAACAAGGCGGTTCAATTTGCTAACAAGTCATAAAGCAAGTGTTATCCATTGAAATGCCACAGACGTTTCGTTCTCTGACATGGCTACGAATTCGGCGCTCGAATTTGTTCATAACGCATAAGACAAGTGTTAGTATTGCTAAAGGTATCGAGGCAAATGTCCATTCTCTACAACAACAAACAATTTGGTAACCCAACTCGTAATAGGAGCCATTAAATCAAGGTCTCTATTTTTTATTTAAAGGCTCTTCTTACTTATTAGTCTGTTTTTTTATCTATTCTAACATGGGAACTTAAATCAGGGCTTCCAAATCCGTTCTAGACAATGGTAGTTGGGACTTGCTCATCATTCGGCCATATCCACCATCATTCCAATCGACTAAGTTATGAGAGGTGCGGACACTGGCATATTAGACCCACTCGTCATTTGGTCATATCCACCATCTTTCTAACCTACTGAGTTATGGGGGCATGAGAGGAGAGCGAGGAGCATCGAAAACGACACGGGGAGGGGAGCCACTGCAAAGGACGAGTGCCTCGTCGAGAGGGAATGAGACGCATTGAATGGGCCTCGCCAAGAGGAGGGAAGGGGGCGAACGCTGGGCTGAAGGGTTTTGTCGCGCCGAGGCAACCACACCGAGGGAGTAGAATAGAGCGGTGGTGCGGGAGAGAGTCGGGACGAAAAAAGACGTAAGGGAGTGAGGTGGTGTGGGAAAAAAAATTTCACGCTCCGGAAGATAAGGTTGAGGAGAGAGATTCGGGTCGTTCATAAAGAACGATTGACATACTATGATAGGTCTCTAGTGTGACAACAAACTATACATCACACTACCTCAGGACACGATTGCTCACATCCATTGAAGACATACTTGCTCATAAGTTTGTCTTATCTCTCAAATACAAACCTCATGAATGATGACCACTGTCACTATTGTCCTGGTACACTCTTACAAGGATTATTCGTGTCATCCTAAAGAAGAACATATATATATATATATATATATATATATATATATATATATATATATATATATATATATATATATATACATAATTTACCTTACACAACTAAAGAAGCACAAATCAGATTCAGAATGACAAATTTCAGTTCTTGCCTTGTCCTCAATATCATATATTTTGATTGCTGATAAATGTCTTCAATCCATGTAGAAAAATTAGAAGATATTTTTGTCACACAAGCCAAATTTGCAGGATATAGTTGTAGCGGTACCATAACAGTTAATGCCGATGCCCAATGATTTTTTTTCTCCCAGATACATGGGTGGCGGTCTAGCTTACGAATTGATATCGCTAGATTGTGTTAGGTTTCAACTCTTTTATTGGCCGTGTGTTTCGTGTTAGGCAGAAGCCAGAAGTCGCTAAATAAAAGCTTTCTTTATTTTTATAAAAAAAATCTAGTTTGACGTGATGATACGGCCGAGCACCTCCTCCTCCTCCTTTTTGCATTTTTTAGCCTCATTGCATGAGCAACTAAGGCCTTGTTTAAATTAAAGGTGTAAAGTTTTGGGATGTCACATCGGGTGTCATATGAGAATGTTATATGGGGTATTCGGATACTAATAAAAAAACAAATTACAGAATCCGTCAGTAATCCGCGAGACGAATTTATTAAGCCTAATTAATCTGTCATTAACATATGTATTAATGTAGCACCACATTATCAAATCATAAACTAATTAGGCTTAAAAAATTGATCTCGTAAATTAGTCACAAACCATATAATTAATTATTTTTTAATATATATTTAATACTCTATGTACGATGTCAAACGTTCCCAGGGATAGACAGTAAAGGGACGAACTAAACAGGGGAGTAGTATTGCGAAAGCCTTCTCCGATCCGCGAACAGGACAAACCACCTAAAACACATGCCAAAAAGGCAAAAACTCTGAAGACTCTGCTGAACACCAACTACCCTGCGCCGGGTCCAGGGTGCACCGGGTTCTCCCCCTCGCCCCCACGCGGCAGCCCCCACGGCGTGCTATAAATACTCGACGAACGGCCCGGATACCTCCGCCCCCCGCATCGCACCCTCCCGGGCCGCCTTCTCTTCTCCAGCGTCCGATCTCCCACTCGCCTCCCTCACCGCAGCTCTCTCTGCTCGGTCGCTTCCCCCCTCCGCCCTCCCCTGCGCGCGCGCTCGCCACCTCGCTCTCCCCTCCCTCCACGTTGCTCGCGTCCGCGCTTATATAAGGTACGCCTCCTCCCCTCTCCAAACCCCTCCGCGAGGGCCTAGGGCCCGGCGCGCTGAGATGGAGCTGATGGATCTAGGGTTTCGGTTGCGGTGGTGGTCCTGCAGTGCAGGAGGAGCCCATGGCGGACGCTCCGGCGAGCCCCGGGGGCGGCGGCGGGAGCCACGAGAGCGGGAGCCCCAGGGGCGGCGGAGGTGGAGGCGGTGGCAGCGTCAGGGAGCAGGACAGGTTCCTGCCCATCGCCAACATAAGTCGCATCATGAAGAAGGCTATCCCGGCTAACGGGAAGATCGCCAAGGACGCCAAGGAGACCGTGCAGGAGTGCGTCTCCGAGTTCATCTCCTTCATCACTAGCGAGTAAGTGCCTCAGCCACGGCTGAGTTTGTTGCGAATTTGGAGTGGCGTTTCGGGCTTTAGCTTGGGCGGGGTTTTGTGTTGACTTGTCCATCTCCACGTTTTCGGTCTGCTCTTTGCAGAGCGAGTGAGAAGTGCCAGAGGGAGAAGCGGAAGACCATCAACGGCGACGACCTGCTGTGGGCCATGGCCACGTTGGGGTTTGAGGACTACATTGAACCCCTCAAGGTGTACCTGCAGAAGTACAGAGAGGTGCGTACTTATGAAGGTGTTGGGTACTTTGGGTTAATCGGATTTGGGGGCCATGTTGTGCAATCACCAATCTGTCACCTCGACTGTACCTCTGATTGAAACTTAAATAATCTTGTTGGGCATGAGCATGATAAGTGATAAATGAGCTACCCACTTCCCTCCCGATGCTTCTGGTACATATTTGTACTGCTTTATAAAGAGACCCCATGGTCCTATGTAGTAAATACTGCTAGTAAACATTAGTTGAGGATATAAAGAGACCCCCTGTTCCTATGTGGTAAATACTGCTAGTAAACATATTCAGAAAGAGCTTCTTTCCCCCAAGTAGTTTTGTCATAGGTTTATAAGGTGAGCCAATTCGAAAGCACTTTTATCCATTGAACACTGAACAGTGATCGAAACCTCTCTTTACTGTTCTTACATGGGGCTGGGTTAACACTCGTACTGGGGGAAGATAGTATATCTACTTACAACCCTCTGTGTCTGTTCTATGATGAAAAGTTTAGATGTAATGCAAATGGAATTCATAAGAGGTCCTGTAATAGTGTAATTAGAACATCCTGTAGTGCAAGCTTTTAGTTACTTGAAAAACATACTTTTACGCTAAAGATACCCGAAACTATTCCACTCTAGGTCATATACGATCTTGCTTAGGGTCCAGAGTTTATGTAGTTTTTTTTTTATATGCCCTATTTTATTGGTTGAATCATGTGTCTAATGAGGTTTCTCTTTTGGTCTTCTGTCTGGTGGATGGCATCACGGATTGCAGATGGAGGTATGTGGTATTAAGCACTTTGAGTTGTATTTCATAATATAATTTTGTCTGATGGTGAATTACTCTATTGTTTTTCATATTTTAAGACACTGGTCTGTAAATGTTTATACCGTGGAATTTTGTTTTTAGAATTGGCCTTGGTAATTTGAGCTAGCTGATCCTGTTTTCACCCTGACTCGAAGCACATGTGCACAGTTGAATTGGTTCTGAATGTCATGGAGCACTGAAGATATCTTTTTGTAAACGAATCTAGTTCGGCTAGTTCATGTATTGATTCCTTACTGGCAGGTCAATAAAAATTGAATGAAACAATGAGTCACATGCATACTTTTTATTAGAAAAAGTACTAGGAGTATAAATGTGATCAGAATCCCAGGTCTTCACCATACAAACTACTGTATGGTTGCCTAATAGATTTGACCTCCACCTGATTCTGATACAGATATGAATTTTGTTTCACTGACTGTTTAGCGAGTTTCCACTCCTGTACAATGCTTGGTACAGGTTCTAGAGGGTATAGGAGTAGCTTTTCTTATTATCCTTGATTTAGCTACCAAGCTTATAGAATCTGAGATATAATATAATGAACATTACTCTGCTCTTGATTCTTTGATAACCAGCAGGGTGATAGTAAGTTAACTGCAAAAACCAGCGATGGCTCAATTAAAAAGGATGCCCTTGGTCATGTGGGAGGAAGTAGCTCAGCTGCACAAGGGGTTAGTTTTCTTGGCCTTTTCGTTTTCGTTCTTTTGATCACCCTGCGAAGCTAACTGTTTCTGCTCTTTTTAGATGGGCCAACAAGGAGCATACAACCAAGGAATGGGTTATATGCAACCTCAGGTGATTGACATTAAATTTTCTTGACAGTTGCTATTTTCTTGACAATGTATAGCTTGGGTCTGTGCTATAATTGTTTATTTACTGGGTTGAAAACTTGAACATGTTGGATTGGCAGATTAGCACCCTTAATTTTATCGCAGATGTGCAAATCAGTTCACATGTTCCATTTGCCTAGCTGTAATGAGTAATGACTAACAAGGTGCCCCCACAACAGATTGCTCCATCTGCTTATCTGTAATGACTCTTGAGGTGCCCCCACTAACAATTTTCAGTATTTGTTCCACACATAATGATATCTACATATGTTATGTATTTTTTTTGTTCATCTATCAATGGTTTTTTTGGTCATGCTGCGGTTGGCATCCATATGATTGCTGATAGTCCTCCTCTTTCCCTTCTCCAGTACCATAACGGGGATATCTCAAACTAATGAAGATCTGGACCTTTTCTGTGACAGCTGCTCTTCCACGAGGTACAAGCTCATGCTTTCATCCAATTGCTATATGTTGCCATGATACACAGTATCTCATGTGTTGCTACATTTACGACACAGGTGGGTTTTTGGTCGCGGTTATTTACTAAGACACCTTGCGGCGACCATTAAAGAGTAACCAATCACCCCCGATAGGTCTGTTTTTATCTGCAAGAACCGATGACTCGATGAGGCAGCTTGCTAGGTGTAAATCGCTTCCCTGGGAATAGTTTCGGTTGTGAGCTAGCGTCGTTGTTGTATGTATATTATTAAGAATAACTTAATGATTGGTCTTTCAGCTGTCATTTGGTTACATGTATTTCTATTGGGAGGCATAAATATTGTGTATTTGTATCAAGACTAGTGTATTGAACTATGAGAAGAGATGCTTTAGTTATACCCAACTTTGGATGCCCGTGTAATAGGAAAAAAAGAAGATTGTGGGCGTGCACAACATATTTACTGTAGGCTGTAATAATTACGCGTATTGCCGTATTTTCGTGGTCCCATCATTCCGTTTTACCGTACCACCATTTGAAATCCTGAAGGAACGTACTCCCAAAGCCGAAAAACAAAATCCTTTGTGAGCCATTCACCCAAGGCGGTGGTGGCTTCATCCGTCCACTCGACACCGCCAGTCGTGTGAAGGCGGGCTTCATCCGTCCGCTCGACACCGCCAATAGTGTGAAGATGAGTATTGTTCTGAGTCATATTATATAGCCATACAGGTATAGTCGTATAGAGACGCGGCAGAATACAGACTAGGGCCCAGATCGACCATGACTAATTACCGGCCATGTACTTTCAAATGTGCATTTCAAATATGCAGCAGCCAGCGAGCAAGAAAACATATACTGTAGTATAGTAGCACTAACACATAGTAACATCACAGTTCCATTACATTTACCGCCAGAGCACAATATGCAGTAGCAAGCGACCAGCGAGCAAGAAAACATAGAGAAAGTAGCATTTACCGTGACTACCAGAGCACAAAGGCCTAGTCTCTTTGGGATAAAAATTGTTCAAAAGAGTAATAAATTCCATTGTTTCCAAGCATGATTGAATGAAACATGCATACACCCCAAAAATACTGCTAAATAGTTACCAAACTTCGATGATCAGTGAGCAGAGACAATTGTCTAAAATATTCTACGTGATGTTATAAAGGATTCCAGAACACGTTACAAATCACAAATGGTACAAGAATCATCTGACTCCAGTACATAGCCCAAAGACTCCCAAGCCTAACCGTTAAATGTAGGAATGAACATGCCTTCCCCCCTATCTGATACTCCGTATATTTAAGGCCTTCACTCAGTCACTGATCGCCCGAGCACTGAACTGACACAGGAGGAAATTGTGTTTATGACAAACCAAACACGTGTGCGTCCAATACAACTAGATGAAGTTTATATAGGAAAAAAGGGACAGAGATGTAGACGCCCTGGTTACTAATAACTAATAGCCTTATGATGCTAAAGTGATTTCCGTTTTTCTATACAGACTGCATCATCTAGACGAGAGAATCAGTTGAGCAGACTACGTCGATATCAACAGACCTGACAGGAGCGCAAGGTTTGCTAAGCTGGTTTACTCACTTGCACCTGCTTGTACATCTGGTGCCTCAACCGAGGTATCCTCTATAGTCTTCTCCACCGCTGGAGCATCCTCATCTAGTGCTTTAGCTGTGGCAACCACAGCAGTTTTTTCAGCGTTGGAGGTATTTGTATCTGCTGGCGTAATGGCATCCTGCAGAGTCTTCTCAACTGTAGTTGAATTCTCATGTGTCACAACTGTGGCATTCTCTACAGGTTTCTCAGCTGCTGTAGATTTATCATCTAGCACCTTAACATCCTCTACCATTTCCTCAGCTGTTATAGCTTCTTCAACTGGTGCTCCAGCTGTAGTTTGACCTTCGGTTGTCTCCCCAATATCTTTATTTGCTATTTTCTCATCTGGTGCCCCTACTGTAATTTCAACTTCTTTGGTCTCCCCAGCTAGTGTGTCAGCATCTGCTTTATTTTCTGTTTTCTCATCTGGTGCCTCAACTGTAACTTCACCTGCCCTGGTCTCCTTAGCTAATTTGTCAGCATATTCTTTATGTTCTATTTTCCCCTTCTCGTCTGGCGCTTCCTCCTTAGTTTCACCTTCAGCAGTCTCCTCAACTACTCCAACAGCAGCAGCGGCAGCAGCGGCATTCTCTACATTCTCCTGGACTGGTACTACTTCTGCCTCCACAGTTTCAACCACGACCGTAGAGCGCTCAGTAGTTGCATCAGCCATAGATTCATCTTCAGAAATTTGTCTTCCCACCTCAAGTTGTCCACCTGATGCTTCAATTACAGCTTCTACTTGAACAGTCTGCTCAATACTATAGCCCTGTTCACCTGATACTTCAACAGTAGTTTTGGATTCCACTTCAACTTCTACTTGCTCAACTGCACCTTGTACGAAAGGTTCAGCAGCAAAATTTTCAGATTGTGACTTTGGATCTTCAGGTCCCACTTTTTGTTCAGTTACTGTCTGTCCCGCTAGTTTCTCACCAGAGGTTTGACTTTGTAATAACTCAGGAGATACCATATGCTCTTCTAGAACTTCATTCCCAGTATCATCCACAGTATGATCTTGTGCAGTACTTGGTGCTTCAGTGTCTGCTTCAAATACGGCATTATCTCCTGAAATGTGACTCTGCTTTGGAGCTTCGACTACAACATCTGTTTGCATATTATCTGGAGCATTCTGAGGCAACTCTTTTATTATAGCATCAGAATGTAAGGTTTCTGTCTCTGTGGGTAGATCACTGATTGAAACTTCCTTTTGAATGTAAGCTTGCTCAACATCGCCAACTTGCTGAGACGACACTTCAGGTACAGATGCAGCTTGTGTACCTTTCCCAATTTGATTAACATGGCCAATTAGCTCGGCGTCAATCTTTCCAGCTTTCTCAAGCCTGTCAACTTGACTGACAAATGCACTGTCTGCAGCTTCCACTTGAGAAGTTTGCCTCACAGTCTCAACTTCTTCAGACGACAGCTCTCCTGCAACTTCTACTTTATCTGTTTTCTGCATCAGGTCAACTTCCATGGAATCCTTAGGAACTTCGGACTTAGTCGAACCTAGACAAAAGGCATGATCACATGGCAGAATTAAGCATTTAATTTTATGGAAGCTGCAGAGCAACTTTGTTAAATACTGCCTCCATTTCTTTTTCTAAGGCATATTAGGATTTTTAAAAAAAGCAATTAGAAGTGTACTTTTACTATCAACTACTCTTATAATATACCATCAATTGCTGCAAAACCAACTTGTGTTGAACTATATGTGGAATGTGAATCCATTGATGCAACTTTTATGTCCTAAGCACGCATATAATTTGAGTAATATTGGTAAAAGAATTATGAGGTTTAACTTTTTAAATCCTAACTAATAAGAAACTAATATAATGCCCCATATTTTGAAACAGAATATGGACATGTAAATTGAAAGAATGTTTACCTGGAATCTCCATGTCACGATCTTCAGGTTTTTTCACAGGATTATTTGCTGACAGTGTCTCTAGAGAAAATGGCATATTGACAAGACGGTAACTTCGAAGCGAAGGTCCAAAAGTGCCATACTTGCCAGCTACACTAAAAGCCCTTTCAGCATCGGCACGCTTTTTAAAGACAACTTTAACAGTTTTTGTTTCCTTGTGTACTTCTGTCTCCCTTTCTTTCAGTGGCCCATAGCGACTGAACATCTTAACAAGATCCAGTTCTGAAGGAATAGCAGCTGATCTGCCAAAGCTCAAAACAAGTGCAGTGGGCTTCAACTCATCAACCATCTTCTCATCAACATGGATGATAGATCTTTCCATCACTTGTATCTGTTTTTTAGGAACCGGATCCCCAAGTTCCGACAAAGGTACATATGCATGTCTTGAGGATCTTCGCCTACGTCTTGGCCTTGTATTGGGACTCTCTTTTCTGAGGTCATTAATTGGATGATTATGCAAGCTCAATCCGGACCAGTACGAGTCCTGCATATGGTCCGTTGTCTCTACCTCAGGAGAAGGTAAAACTTCTTTTCTCTTCCTCCCTCTCTTAGATGTACCTTTGTCAACAATGTTAGCTTCAGTAGTTGTAGAAACAATATAGTTTCTGTAATCATTGAAGTAACTGATTATCATTGGTGAGAAACTATATCCATTCATTGGCTCTGTTGCAACCATGCATAGCTGTGATAGTAATTCCTTGGGATCTGCAGTGTGATTTCTGTGCAGACGTCTCCTTTTCGCTCGTTTCTCCACAGTAAGTTCATCACCAGCATCATCACTAGAGATATCAAATTCCCCATTCTCTCCTTCAGCAGCATTCTTATAGGCTGTTGGTTCATTCTGAGCCTTCATAATGGATGAAGATCCTGTCAGCTGGCTTGCCGCTCGCCGAATACACTCACCGATCTTGAAAGAACTACCACCAGTTGGAGCCGATGACTTCTCTGAATCTTCAAATGAGTCGAAGTTTCTTTTCTTCTTGTTCTGTAAGCTGTCATAGTCATCAAAGTCCACACCCACTTGTTTCTCATTGTAGCTAGTATCATTGACCTGATTAGATGTGCTTCTTTTCTCCATCACCACCTGGCCATCACCAGGTTTTTGTTTCCGAGGTCTCCCCCTGCCCCTTTTGGGCTTCTCTTGAGTAGGACGCACTTCATTAATCACAGGCTCCTCGACCATTACATTCTGGGTGGATAAAGTGTCTGTACCATCCAGACCATCACCATCCTCAACCCACGCATCGCCAGTTTGAAATGATGCAAGTTCAGGACATCCCTTAGATCGATAGAAAGAAGTAAGTTGAGAACACGCTATCACTAACTCCAACAGATCACCTCCTTGGCCAGGAAATAGAGCTAACTCCTTAATATAATGAAGAAGGTTTTGTGGACTGAAACAGTTTAAGATCTCGGGCCGATTAACTGCAGAGCAAGTAACTCCATCCTTGAGCCCAGCATTATCAACCATGTAGGACATGCCATTATCAGCAAGCTCTTCTGGCAAACAAGAGCAGCTCATACCTGACAGTATCCGCCTTGAGAGTTCTTCAAGTGCATTATTAACTGACCCAACAAAGGCATCTGAAGTGCTCTGTTTCTCCATTTGTGAATAATTTGTTACAAAAGGCTTCAACTGGGATTCATCACACCATGCAAAAGTATTGTCACCAAAATAAGCTACCAAGTGGCTGCCCTTTTTCTGATGCTTCAGCGCCAATTCAGATGCATCCGATGGATAAAAAATTTCACCAGGCCACCAAGGATGACTTTTCACTTTACCCCAGACAAGATCAGTAACTTGAAACCCGCCTTTGTCAAGAGGAGGCAAGCAGTATCTAGCACCCTGATGAACATTCCCCAGACTAGCAGCCTCTAAGTTGCTGTCCGGGCCATTTCCGCTGTCAGGAAGCTGCTCTATTGTTTGCGGGAGCATTTCAGATGCATTATCCGGCTGGTCAACTGCAGGTGCTCCATCACCTTCATGTTCCTTGGAGTTTCCCTCTATGTCACCAGGCACATTGTTCTGTATTTCCGTATCAGAATGTGCTACGCCATTATCGCTTTCATTATTCTTTCTCCCAGGCTCCACAATTACATGATTTTCTTCAAGTTCGTTGGATCCTGAAATGGAATAGGTGAATACAATTCAAGACGTTTAGCTAAAACGGTGCCATCAATAGGCAGCACACTTACAAGCACAGGGCTCTGAGCAGTCTCCTTACCGGCTTCAGCATGTTCAGGAGTGGCAGAACCAGCAGCAGCAGTAGCCACATCTACCACCAGAACAGGCTTCCTCTCCGTCTCAGGCAGCAGACCACCAGCTCCTGCTTCTAACGTCCCCTCCTCGCCACCGTCCTCTCCATTCGCCGCCTCCACGCCTTCCACGTGCTCATCTCCGGGCCCTTCGGCACCAACCATACCAGCCGACTCGGTCGCGTAGAGCGGGTCGGTCACCGCCACATCTCCCCCTTCATGAGCCACATCCATCGCCAACGGAGCCTTCCCCTCCACTTTCACATCGGCGGAGAAAGCAGGCACCTCGCCCTCAGCTTCCGACATCGTGACGTCAGCGCCCGCCGCCAGCTTCGTCTCGCCACCCCTAGGATCCGAGGCCGCGACGGCCCCCGAGCTCATCGGTGCGAGGCCTCAGCGCTAGCGCCGCTCCCCTGACGAGGGAATCTGGAAGGACTGAAACAGCGGGGGGCAGGAAGTCAGCGAGGGGGGACCTCGGAATTCTCCTCGATCCAGCGAGGCGCCGAAACCCTAGGAGCGGATCAGCGCGGGGGGCACGGAATTTGCCTGCGCGAGCGCCGAGCGAGTGGGGAGCGGGGACGGGGTCGGGGTCGAGGGCGCGCGCGTGGGGAGGTGAGAGCAGCTCCGGAGACGGCAGGGCGGGAGAAAGATAGATGCGGAGCCGGGGCTGAGATGGGAGGAGGCCAGGAAGGGGAAGAGTGTTACTGGTGCTCGGCTTCCGTGTCGTGTATCGGCGCTCCTTGGTCCGAGCTCGGAAGCGGGTAGGAGTAGGAGTACGTGTTTGGGAGTTCGGGGATCTGTGATCTGATCTCAACTTTCTGGGTTATTGGGTTATTGATCCTGCGGTGGGTATTTCGACTTATTTCAGCTGATTTAATAGTGTTTTAATGAAAAATAAATCGAAATAAATATAAATTGATTGAAAAGTAGATAAGCAGTGAATATTTTTCCACTGTTCTCTCGTCATGGGGAGGATAGAGAGATTGTTTTGATGCTCGTGAGTCGTTACCAACGATTTTTTTCATACTTATAAAAGAAGATTTTTTTAATGCTTTATCGTTCATGCCATGCTAAAAACATTAAATACACAATATTTCCTCAGTCCTAAAATAATTCGATTTCTGGCTAATAAGATTTACTAGCAAAAATATCCATGCGTTGCAACGAGATCACTGCACTACCAGTGATGAGAGTAATAGTATGATAGAGCTATGTGTGAGCATAGCGGCCACTGTAAAGCGGCATTGCGGCCATGGCAGCACGTGCATGCGGTGTGACCAGCCGCATTTTTTTATTTTTTAGCCATTTTTTTGAAATTTTTTCACAATGTCCCTGAAGGTATGATTTTAAAATCTGGACCCTTAGCTCGGCGCCATCATTGCTGGCGCCGAGGTCTTGGGCTCGACGCAAACATAACGGTGACTTGGCAGGTACCTCGGCGCCGTAGATCCTAGCGCCAAGCTTGGCGCCAATATCTATGGCGCCGAGGTGGTGTTTTAACTCGGCTCCCAACCTTTCTGCCCGAGCCTTCTTCCTCTTCTTTCTCCTCCCTCTCGGGTTTATTCTCTTTCCACTTCGTCCTACCTCACGAATCGGCATATTAGACCTTAGAAACTTTGATTTGATCCGTAGATCTTCGAGAGCAAGGTATCCTCGCTCCCCTCCTAGTTTTTTCACATCGATTCGGTATATATTAGTCGGATTTTTCAATCTAAGAATCATCATTACTTGGGGTTTCATGTAATTTTTAATATTTGTATTATACAACCCTAGGATGTCAAGGCGTGAAAAAGCTAGCAAATCAAGGTAACCTTAGTGCCCATGTGCTTTTGCGGCGATCTTTGCATGGTAGCCAAGTCCGATGAAGAGGACACGTATAGGCAGAGATATTGGATGTGTTCTAATTTTACGTTTGAGCCTACACTTCATCAGCGCCGCATTAACAAGATGGTGAGGAATTGATGTTTGTCATATGACATCTTGCATGATTTTTTTGTTTTATAACAATTGCATTTTTTGTAGACCCTTCCACCGCTCTGTGATTTTGAGCAGTGGATCGACACTAAGATCAAGCCTGAAGACAAGAAATGGATGCAAAACTGTTGCGGTGGGAGGCAGAGGACAAGGAGATGATGGAGAAGAGACGCGAAGAGGAGGCTGCAAAAAAGGAGCACAAGGAAGAGGAGAAAGGAGGTGTGTTGCTGCATACAGGGAGGAGAGGGAGAAGAAGCTTGAGCGTGCATGTCGAGCGAAAACAGTGATGGAGGAGAATCCCAATGCCTTGAGAAAGAGAAATTGGCCTCGTTGCACTCAGTAGTCTCCATGACTTGCTAGATCTATGGTTTATTCATGAACAATGTTGTCTACTGTCGACACGTACTTCTAGTATTATTGTATTATTTAATGTGGTATAATATTAGACTTTTCAATATGTAGTTGTTTTTATTATTTGTGGTCATAATATTCAGTATAATATTGCGGACGTAGTAAAATATGATCACATGCTGTAAACACAACTCAATGAAGTAGGGCATTATATAATTCAACACAAAACACATGAAATGGCATGTGAGAACATGTACCAAAATAGAGTACAGAGTTCCTTCGACTAAACCTAACATGCCTTAGGTAATTAAACCAAACAACAAACACATGGATGTGCCATGTGAATAAAATAGGGTCGTCCTAGTAGTGTGGCCACATAGCAAATTGTGTTGCACCTTCTCCATAGTAGCCTTCCATTGTTGGTGGTAGTGGTGGCTGGGGTGACAGCGGAGGCCCCTTGTTCTTGTGGTTAGGGCAGTTTCAATATGGATCATTGCAGAGTGTCTTCTGTGAATCGGCACCATTATTGTTGTCACTAACTAAATCAACTATCTAAGTCATCACATTAACTAGTAAATAACAAATACCAAAACTACTACACTACAATCAAAGCTAATTAAGTACGTACATTGCATATTCATAATTTTTACCTGTCCGATGATGAAGTCGCGGATGTTGATGGAGTCACAGCGGACGCCAGGATCGATGGCCCTAGGATGGAGTCACAGCGGACGCCGGCGTGGGTGAGGCCGACGAGCCAGCCGGCAGCGGATGTACCTGGCCAAGCCTTCTGAGGGCTGGGGCCAATGGTGGCGCCGCGCGCAATGCGGTGGTGTCGGCGCACGTGGGTGGCGGCGCTCACAAGACGGCGGGCGCGCCGACCGACGGCGCGAGTCAGAGGCGGCGGCATGGCGTGGCACGCACGCGCATGGCATGACACGGGCGAGGCAAGCCGGGGCGACGGCGCACGCACAGGCAGTAATGGCGGGGCCGGCGGCCGGGCGCGATGGCATGGCGTGGGTGCGGCGAGGGCGCGGGAAGGGCGCGCGGGCGTGGCGGTGGTGCGGGTGTGATGGCGCAAGCGAAGGGCAGGGCGCGCGGCGCGGTTTGTCTGGCGCCGGTTCGGGACGCGAGAGAGAGAGGAAGAGAGAAAGAAAGGGAGAGCCCATACGTAAGATAGGCTTGGCGCCAATAACCACGGCGCAAAGCTTGGCGCCAAGATATATGGCGTCGAACTCGGCGCTAAGATCTACGGCGTTGTGCTGCCTGCCAAGTCACCGCCATGTTTGCGTCGAGCCCAATACCTCAGCGCCAGCAATGATGGCACCGAGATGTGTAAACTCGGCGCCAGCAACGATGACGCCGAGCTAAGGGTTCAGATTTTAAAATCATACCTTCAGGCAGCCTATGTCGATGGCATGGTAGCTACTGTGCACAGCAATAGGGTGGCCAGCACAATGGCCGTGCGGACACGTCTCCTACGACGGTGCAGGTGAGTGCAGAACGGAGTGGATATAGATATAGATAAATTTTAATGGTAACCAAAATTAGATCATCAATTAGTAATTAGAATATTTATTTATCTAAGGGTTAAGGATTTAATGACTCATAACAGCAGTATAATTATCATTTATTTTTGTGGTTGTGTAAGAAAAAAGGAGATAGAAGAGAAAAAAACAAAAAAAATCACAGAACCAAACCTACGGAGACAAAAAAAATGAGAAAGGACACGGAAGGGGAGCGATAAAGAAAAAGATGTGGTAACGGTCATTGTTTGTATTAGGATTTGGATTCCTATTCAAGTTAGTTAGATTAGATCATGATTAGTCTTTTCTCAAAACGCTCTACATATATCATATAGATAATAGGAGAGCTGATAGCTTTTGAGTCCGGGTCACATATACGACCTAATACGTTTTGTAATTGTCGGTGTTTCGAGTCGCCACCAATAAGTAATTTTCTAATATTGCACGTCTGACCCGGATGGTGTGCTAAGAGGACACAAGGTTTATACTGGTTTGGGCAGAATGTCCCTACGTTCAGTTCGTTGCTGCTGCTCGTGTTACTAGCACTGAAAGTTCGTAGTAAGGGTTACAAACGGTCGAGAGAGGGACAAGTCACAAGTCTCTGGTGAGAGGAGCGAATGGGCGCCGAGGGCTTGATCGCTTCTTTGCTAGGTGCTTGTGTGTTCTAATTGGTTCGGGGTTTGAGTCCAAATCGGTGTGATGTGTTGTGATTGTTCGTTCTCTCGTTCGTCCTCTTTGTGGGACGCTCTGCTTTCTCTTTTATAGACTAAGGGAAAGCACGGGTTATAGTGGAGGAAGAGAAGAAAACGAGACAAAGAAGTCCTTCAGGATCGCCGGGTCCTTCTCCTCTATGCGGGTCTCGCCGACCCTATAGACGTCAACAGGGACAGCTTCCCATCGTGGCCCTGTCCGTCACTGGCGCCTCGTGCAGGCGTCGTCTGCCGGTCTTGGTGTTCCACTCCATCCTAACGAACGTCATGGTGAACTGACGTGCCCGTTGGTGTTCATACGGGGGTTAGGTAGAACAACACCGGTACGCCCGACGCTATTCCTGACGTGAACCCCCTGGTATGGCCCGTTGTGGGGCGTGGGCTACATCGAGGCATGCCAGTCTCTTCCCTAGCGTCAGAGCTTTGACCTAGACCCATACACTTGGACCTAGAGTGGTTGGCGGTGGTATGGGTCTCCATCGGGCGAGACGGAGCCCCCGACCTCGGGGTCGGCGAGGCGGAGTTCCTCCCCTAGAGGCTAGGCGAGGCGGAGCCCAAACCCAAGGGTCAGGGCGAGGTGGAGCCAGCCCTTAGGGGTCGAGCGAGGCGGAGCCACCTTCAGGGGTCGGGCGAGGCGGAGCCAGCCCTCAGAGACTGGGCGAGGTGGAGCTTGAGTAACTCAGTGTCGGGCGAGGCGGAGCCACCCTCAGGGGTCGAGTGAGGCAGAGCCCACGGCCTCGGTGTCGGGCGAGGTGGAGCCAGCTCTCACAGGCTGAGCGAGGTGGAGCCTCACCCTCAGGGGTCGGGCGAGGCAGAGCCA